AAAAAAAAAAAAAAAAAAAAAAAAAAAAAAAAAAAAAAAAAAAAAAAATTGTAATGTAAAAATGTAATCTTTTGCTTTGAAAAGATCCCGACTGCAAGGTTTAAACTTGTTCACCCGGCACTATAAGAAGATTGAAGAGTGTGATATTGTTGGCTACGCGGCATCTTCTAAAATGTGAATAACCTACATTAAAAACATTTTCCATTTATCAAAAAATTTTGCGGCTGAAATCTCACAGTTTTTGTTCTTGATAAGTTCTTATCCTCAGATTTTTTCCCATTGAAATCGGACATTTCTTGGAATAAGCTGTTCAATCAAACTGTGTGACTTTATAATTTAATCCTACGCGATATAGAGACATGCCTTTAAACATACACATTCTTATAATTTCAGCGGTGCTTTGCGATTGCTGCCGCCATGCCAGCAGGTTAGCACAAGATTGTTGAAGGCGCTTCAAGCAACTATTCCGGCTTAGAGGTGTTGCACAGTATCAGATTGAAATGAAGGCGCTCTAACTTGCAACAATTGATTAGCCGGCCGCCTGCCGACTGTCATTGTCTAACAGTTTGGATCTCATTGTTCGTTAATCATGGCACTATACTTCAAACGCATCTTTACGTCTTAAACCAATAAAGGAAAGTGTGTGATGAAGTAATCCACTACACAAAATGTTTCCACGCTGGCAACAGAGAAAAGGTTTTGCTCTTAACTTTTCCGCGAGCAACTCCGTGCATTCACATGTAATGTAACGAACGAACTTTGTAAAAAATTAAAGAACATATTATATATCATTATGGATGCATGTTTTATTTTGAAAATACCAAGGGATTTACGTTGAATCGTAATGAAAATGTTCACGATCGTTTTTCAAAAAAATCACAATTGTTCTCGCTTGAATTAATGAATTGTCAAACAAAACTTTGCGACGTTGCAATGTAATTAAGCCCCTCTAGCTCTGATCCTTTCATATGGCTTGCAAGCAAAATATGGAGTAAGATATAATTCTCATAGCTACATATGAAAAAAAAAGTCGTTATAGAGACTGAAATACACATTTAAATTATTCTGATATATGCCATAAAGTACATATTTCATTATTCCTCCCACTCTTTTGTTTAATTACCACGAGGAAGAATAAATGTTCAATGTCCCCATCTATGGCCGAGACATCCACCATCGCAGTTACAGCAAAAAATGTTACAGGCGCCTTTTCCGCAACAGGTCCGCACACTGGCATTCCAATAGCTGCCGTCTTCGCAGTAGTTATTCCCTATGTCCTGGGCCCAAGTATAACTATTACAACAGACACTAAAAGTAGGTGGAATGGTCACCAATAGAAACAGACTCAGCAGATATAGGACTCTTCTGGTAATTTTTAACATTCTGAAGGATGTTCTACGGTTGAATATACTCAAGATATAAGATGTGGGACCGACATTCAGGTAGTATCTGGGTACTTTTTTTAAAATAAATAGTGCTCAAAAAGCTTTCAGGGCCAAAACAAACCTGGAATAGAAAATTCGATTTATTAGTGACAATCATAATGTTATCTCTCACATAATTGAAGGAGAAAGATACATAGTAGTCCTTGTTCTACCACGACCCACGACCCAGCCAATAATCATATCGATGACTATAGTCGTGAATTGTGCATTGCCGATCGTAGCGCTCCCTCTACAAGAAAATCAGATAAGGTTTTCTCTTTGTAATTTTCTATGAATTTTCTGAGAGATGTTTGACAGTCGCAACGGCGAAACGTATTTCCCGACTTCAGCCCCCTGGTAAAAATTGACAGTAGAATCTGTGTTCCAAAATACCATAGACCTACAGCCGGCTGTAAGATTTCCATAGCTTCTATAGCCGGCAACACAATTTCTTACAGCCTTTTATAGCCGATGGCGATTAAGCAACAGCTTGGCGATAAAGTGTGTGCTAAATGTTACTAATTACGGATGCTAGGACTTAGTGAGTTTTTGAACTACCTCTCTCTTTTTGGGCCGTAGTATCTTGATGTATTTTGCAAGGAAAGCACCGTACTTTTGAAGGATGCCTGCCTTTCTTAATATGTTGGAGCGCCTTCAATTTCGTATGATACTGTGCAATACCTCTGGTGTGAAATAGTTGCTTCAAGCGCCTTGGTACGCTGCGCTGCGGCGCGGCGCGGAGGGCGGGCAGCCAGCTCGAAACGAGCACTGGCGCCTACAAACCAAACGGGGATACTTCACGCATTGCACAATGCGTGAAGTATGCCTGTTAGATCTGTAGGCGCCGCCGCTCCGCTTTGAGTTAGGCTCTAATATTTAATCTCGTGGAGTCAGCGTTTTTCAACTCATGACTTTGAAATGTTTGCACACTCTGTATGGATTATTTCTCATTTTAATTGATGAAAAAAAAAATATGTAGTAAAGGAAAATATAATGTGCGTTTTGTAAATATTAAGGTGATTCCGTAGAAAACTTAAGGATTTACAAAGCACACGAATTTCTACACAATTTCTTATAGCCTTTTATAGCCGATGGCGAAAAAGCAACAGCCAGGCGATAAAGTGTAAAGCCCGGCGATAGGAACTATAGCCCGGCTGTATAATTTTTTATCACTTCGTGTAGCCCGGCCGTATGATTTTTTCCACTTTGTGTAGCCAGCCGTATGATTTTCTATCGCCTTCTTTAGTCGGCTATAAGAACTTCTATGGTATTTTGAAACGCAGCTCCTATCGCCAATTTTTACCAGGGCCATCAATATTCTCCATAGACAAGGCATTGGATGTGGAATGGTATGGAAATAAAATGAGGTTATATGTGTCCTCACTCTCTACAGAGCTGACCATGAAAACCAAAGTAGATATTCATGCATTACTCGACNCCCCCCCCCTTCAGAATGCAATCGTCAAAAAATTCTGAGCTCCTACACCCGAAACATTTTTTGTTGAAAATTTGATAGTTTACTATTTGAGCTCGCATTTATAAAGGTAACTTACCAGTTTTGCGGTGGACTATTAGCTCAGCATATTTTTTATCCTCCAAGATTGAGATTTGTGTATGAATGATTGCGTGTATTTTTATCATGAGAAAAAACCTGATGTCTACAATTTTATTGATGAGCACTCCACTGTTTATTTTTAAAAGTCACTTCATTGTGACCAAGTTCTCTAAGTACAACCATACGCTTCATTGGAGCCTACATGCCTCCCTCCCTCTGTCTCGACCATAGTCGGAGAGATTGATGCATTCGATAATAATGGTTCTAATAGATTCGAAGTTATGATACCTATTTAAGTCATGACCCATGTGTTAACATTGTTCCCAAACTAGCTTGAAAGCAGACATTTCTCAAAGGTCCATATGAAAATTGAATACTCACTACGTCAAATTTTAATGGAGATAACGCCCTTCGAAAAACTGGGCACGACGTCATTTCTCGCGGAGACTCGTCTTATGATTTCCCCCACCTCAATGGTTCAACACATAACACATCGGACATACTTGAGTCATCAATACCTGGTTGGACCAAAAATTAACTTTTCATTCAAATCTTTCTTTGCACGAGTAAATCCTGTTTTTGTCGAGAGGAATTCTCTCATGATAGTACTAAAAAGCTAGTGGTAAGATTGACACTGTTCAACATTTTTAGGAAATATCAAGTTGGTTCTAGGAAATGTTCTTTACTTATGCCAGGCCTCAGTTATGTGTGTGATGATATAAAGGAGGGCATGGTTAAGTTACCATTTTCGATTGATGAGAATAGATTGAACAACAAGTACGCCTCGGAAGTGTTTTAAAAATTAGAGTTAAGGTTTGCTCAATGGAAGGGTACGTGTGGCCTCTATCTGCAGTATTCTTCGCTGTGGTTTTCTTAGTTTCTTTCCTCCGTCTAAACAGCAAGTCAACAGAATAAATTTAAAAAAAAAATCACTATGTAAATTGATTCTAATTTTTCTTTACAATGTTGTATGCAAAATGAATACATTTTTGGCAGAGTTTTGTGTGCGAATGTGTAAGTGTGTGCGTCTTTTTAACTTTAAGTTTCAAGGGAAGTTTTAAAGTTTTTTTGTGCTTTCGAGCGGTTGATAATGTACAATGCCACTTTTTAAAGGTGATGTACACTTTTTTATGACGTACAATTCTCAAAATATTTTAATCAAAATATTCACTGTTACCATTAGTTTCATACCGCTGGTTAAGTTGACGGTGGTACAGCAGGAGCAGGAGCTCTCATCGAAGGAAATAGGAGATTTATTGAGGAATGACTTCATTATTCCGGACGTTATTTACAATGATCCAAAACATAGAATGAAGGTAAAACTTACTTTAATGTTTTCCATTAATATAATATTGCCATCCCTAGCTTTCTTTTGGAATGCTCAAAATGCAGGAGAAATGGAAGGAAGTGTCTGGTAGTTTTGGATCTCCCTCCCCCCCCTCTTCGCCATTTGTTAAAGTGACGTTAAGCGGAAGTGTCGCACTCCGCACTACGAATGTAAAATAATATGCCCTCTACCACTTGCCTACTTGGTAAACCTGCACGATAATATCTTGGTAGAGAAGCAACTCCCTCATTCTCAAAAATTAATCGACTGATAAATTAATCAACTAAATATGGATAATTTAAAAAAATTGATTGGGTTCCTCCTGGGAGAAGACGTGGGGGCGGCCAGCAAAATCGTGCATTGGTGGCATTCAAGATGAAATCACAAGATGCCATCTACCAGATGACCTCTGGATCAATAGGCAAGGATGGCGATTAGGTGTCGCAGAGCACTTGAGCGCGCTGTAAAGCGACTGGAATGTATGTATGTAAAAAAATCAAAAAGATTGTTCAAAATGGAGCAATATTTTGAACCGGGGCTAATGTCTTTTAAGGTAAAAAAGGATGTTCCCTGCAAATATGGCAGACATGCAAGTATCACAAAAAGAAACGAGTAAATGCTTGATTTAAGAAAAATCCAATGATCTATAAGTAAAGTTTAATATTTTAGAAGGAATAGTTTGGCTTGCTGGTAAAACTTTTTTTCCTTGGCTACCCAATATTTAAAGGTTTCAAGACCGTAATTAAACCCTCAGGTGAAACTCTGAGAGCTATCTATAGTCGCAATTCTGTGAGGAGCTATATAGTCTACGAAAGCTATACTTTCCACCACTTCCAAAGCTTTTTTTTATTAGAATAGTGTCCCTTTTCAAAAAATTTCCACCTACGTCTCTTCTAAATCAAGAATTATCAAAATGCGCAGGTTTATTTCGAAGATAATGACGATATTTATCACCTCAACTACGGTAATCTCATAACTCCACAACAAGCAAGGCGCCAACCAAATGTTCAATGGCCAGTGGAGCCAGCGGCGCCAATGGAAGAGGAAGTAACATATACTCTATTCTGCATCAGTAAGTAATTTTTGGGACGCTTTTGAAGAAAGCTTTATCTTTAATTGGATGGAATCATTTTAAAATTTGAGGATGAAAAATGTGGATTAGGTTTGCCACTTTAAGTTTTCAGGGTTAGATTGCACTTCAAATTATCCAGATCAAATTATGAGTAAAATTTTCCTTACAGTTTATAGACGAAATACATTAGTTTTCTGAGAAATGCACAATTTCTTCCTGCAAATTTGGCATCGTGTAGATATAGTCCCACGCAGACGGAGTGGCATCGCATTGGACATCTTATGCAGAAAGGTCATTGAAGAAGAAATAGTTTTTAATGAGAATCTGGTTCCCACCACGATAGTTAAAATAATTTAGCCTGCCACGACGGTATATCAAAACGCCTTCAATTAATCGAATAGACACACCGTGTTCCTAGGAGGTTGAATAGTGGTATCACGCCCCTCAGCACATATCATATGATTTTGTATTATAAACCGTGTAGTGTTTTGGGTGATTTTTTGCAGAAAGAAATTATTCAACTTGGATTTATTAATTTAAATATTTTCCTTTAAGTTATCTGGATTATATTATGAGCAAAATTTCCCGCCAAGCTTACAGAAAACAAAAAGAATGACGGAAAAAAAGAACATTAGCTTTTCAAGTAATGTGTAATTTCTTCGGAAAATTTGGCAACCTGTAGATGTGTAGATGATTCTTCGCACACTAAGTTGCATCGCATTAAACATCTTATGCGAAGAATCCATTGAAAGAGAAACAGTTTCAAATGAGAATCTGCTGGAATGGGCCTGTTGCATGCAAGAGATACAGCCGTGCGAATAGACTTTTTAGAGGTTAAATGACACGAAAATTACGATGGTCACATTAAAAAAGTCTGAAATACACTCCTTACTGCGCAATTTGTGTTGTTCGGAACGCGCTTTTTCAAATTTCCCGCGTCTGGGGGCAGTTTTCTAACGGAAACAATTAACGGCAACTCGCGGCTATTTCCGGTCAACTAAAATTGACAACATAACCTAAAAATCGGAGCTCGTGACATCGTGAAATGAAATGTAGAAGGATTGCGTTGGATATTTAAAATTTGATCGATTTGATACCGCATAAAGCGTATATGGACCACTATAGGAGATCACGTTGGGTTTGTAAACAAACTGAAGGAAAAAATAACAACAACAACAACAACAACAACGACTCGGCATCTTCCGGAAATCACCGAGCCCGCCGTTTGCTCGTTTCCGGTGATTAGAAAACTGCCTTCAGACGCGGGAAATTTATAAAAGCGCGTTCCTAACAACGCAAATTGCGCAGTAAGGAGTGTATTTCAGACTTTTTTAATGTGACCACAGTAATTTTTGTGTCATTTAACCTCTAAAAAGTCTATTTGCGCGGCTGTATCTCTTGCATGCAACAGGCCCATTCATAGAAATTTAGAATTTAGATTGCCGCGACCGCAAATCAAAACGCCTTCAATCAATTGAATAGGCACACCGAGCTCCTAAGAGGTCGAATAGTGGTATGACGCCCCACAGCACATACCATAAGATTTTGTATTATAAATCGTGTGGTGTTTTGTTAATTTCATTTGGCAGTAAAAAATTATTTAACATTGATTAATGAATTTGAAACTTGTTCTATATAAGGCACATTCTGCCTTACCTTATCACATATTTTAACACTGCATCCCTTAAGGATCCTGAAAAATGACTGTAGAAGAATTTCTCTCTTTCCATCGTTCATGTAGTGCCCATAAAATCTCACGAGCCAGGCTTGATCGGCTTTGTCCTGTGTATGAAGCGGGTTCTATTGCTGTTGGTCAAAGGTTATGCGAAATATCATTCTTCGAGAATGAATCATACTGAGGGTTTTTCACACATGTATGATTAAGGGCCTCTAAAAAGGATATAAAAATGTTTACGTCCACGAGCAGGTTCTGATCATCCAAGTCGAGAGGAAACGTGGGGTCATTGGGTTCACTGGCAACATGTTAACATCCAAGGCTGCAATTTATCAACGGGACATGAAATAAACCAATACACTGGTCCTGAACCAAGCGAAACATCTGGTAAGTATTGCACATTTTTAGGTCGAACGAACATAAGTCCGTCTTTTTCGAAAATTCTATTTTATTTTTTTAAGCATCAATATGCCGACCAGTCAATAACCATTATTGTGTGCTAGCAGTTTACCCGTCCTTTACATGGGGCGTTACCTTACACGTTTATTAGCAAACATTCCATTCAGTTTTTTTTTTAATTACTTCTAAATAATAATAATGAGCAAATGAAAAAATGAATACGCGTTGGAGGGCAAAGAGCACTCTTTGATTACTATCCTCGCTGCGTGTCTCTCATTCTACCGAGTTCGCCTTCAATTCTGCCGTACCAAGGAAAAACGCCGTATGAGCATTCGAATGTTGCCAAATTGCCTCTCGGTAAATACTTATTTTTTAAGAACTTAATGAATATTATTCTTTGAAATTTTCAGATACTTCAGATCTAATTATGAACAAAATTCTCCGCAAAATCGGAAGAAAAATCTAGACAAATTTCCCCGAAAATTCATGATTTGTCAAAGAAGATTTGGCAATGCCTGAAGGCTCATCTACTGAAAAAAATGGTTATGTGGTGAGCGTCCATACTACTTGAAAAATCTAAAGTATGAACTGCTCGCACATGCGATCTGGCTTTCACGACTAGAGCAGAGATGTGCCGTAAACATGTCGTGTATGGAAAAGGAAGTGTATGAACTCACGGAAAAAAAATGACTGTGCGCGGATAACCATCTTGGTTTTGTTAATTAAAAGTTGGTGCCGTATACATGAAAAAATTGATAGAGTAACCAACGGCATTGTATTGTCCACAACGTCTCTAGGGAAATCAATCATTTTCAATTAGTTGCTACTAGCTACTACAAATCTGTTCACCGAGACAAAATTGATGGTAAACTGCTCCATCAAGTTGACTCATTGCACCAAAGAGTGCGCTTGCGCTTCACCTATCTTGTTTTTGGTTGATGCTACTCGGTTAAGTGGGCTCATTGAACTACAGAATGCGTTAGTGCAAATTATAAACTTGTTGATTATGAAGGTCACCATCTCAGATAACTCAATCAAAGTATTTTGTTAGTAGTCTGCCCCGTCAATTTTTTACGCTTTACCAACATTGAGTCACCAAAGAAAGCAATCAGATATGGGCTGATTAGGGAAAGTATGTTGATAAATTTTCAAGAATTCATATTCAACCCACCTTGTGTGACTGATAAGCGTGTAATAATATGTTCGTGGAGCGTACTCCTTTTCTCGTCCCTGGCTCGGGCCAGGCCCGCCACATCCCATCTCGGGCCCTGGTATCAGTTTTCTGGCCCGGGCCCCTAGCACAGAGGGGGATCCGGGGCCCCCCCCCCGGAAAATTTTTTGAAATTTTAAATCTATTTGGACGCATTTTGAAGCTCTTGTGATGGAGATTTTCCACCAATTTCTGTAGAATAATTACGCCTTTTTTTTACTTTCAGCACCAAATACTTTCGAATTGTTGCATTCAAAACATCTATAAATTTTTTTTGAGGGGGGCAGATGATACTTTTCAATTCTAGGGGGAGCCGGGCCCCCCTGGACTCCCCTTTCGTACGTCTATGGCAAGGAAGTTGAGCCATTGAAGTCGAGGATGCCCAGACAGGAGCCTCTTAGCATTCGACAACGGAAGAAAATGAAACACAGTTACTAAAAATATCATTCTACATGTACTCAAAATTTTGAAAATAGATAGAAATCTCTAAAAAAGTAAAAAAAATTGTATAGTGCCCTAGCGTGTTTTTGAAACTTTATTCACCTTTTGCGGAATTTTTAGGGTAATTTTTTCACTTTTCCTTGCGAGACAAGGGTTACAAATGAATTCGTAGTGGTTTGTCACCTGCGTCACGGGCCCCTCCAGGGCCCGGGCCCCGGTACCAAGGACCCAGTATCCCCCCCCTTGTGGCGGGCCTGGCTCGGGCGACGGTAAAGTCGCCGCAAAACGAGCAGGAACCGAGATAGCGTTTTAGGCCACGCCCGCCACCTTGGTTTTTCGAATTTTCGAAATTAGACTAAAAATTTGAATTTAATCGATGGAATGGGAGCCGATGTATCAATTTAGGCTACGTCCGCCGTCTTAAATTTTCAAATTCAGAAAATTCAACTTGAAACGTATGATACCCAAAATCTAAGCTCCGATTCGGCTTCCTCGTGAAAAATCGATGCGATTTCATGTATCATATGTTACCATAGCATAAAGAAAAGAGGGTAATCGTAGGCGTAAAGATTCTATCAAAGCCGGCCGGTATGCGGAAGCAGGCAAAGAATTCAAACGTTTGAGCTACGCCGCCAGACGCCAGCGTCATGCATTTGGTTCGTCCGTTTCCGAGAAAACAAACTTCTTCTTACTCATCAGCTGACCCACTCCGAATCACCCATGTTGCCGCGTCGGACTAATATGTTAGAATCCACACGCCCACGTTAATCTCTTTCCTTCATGATATGGTGACATATGATACATGAAATTACATCGATTTTTCACGAGGAAGCCGAATCTGAGCTTAGATTTCGGATATTATGCGTTTTAAGTCAAATTTTCTTTTATCTATTTTAAATTACTCAGGAAAATTTGCGGAAACTCATTAGAATAACAGTGAGTATTCTTTTAAAAACATTGATCAAAAATAAAACATTGACGGTATTTGAATCCATTAATCTCCTAGATAACTTGAACACGGTTGTTCTACGACTTTTTACGTATGTTGTTTTCTTCCGCATTGGTTGTCAGCAGAGTAGCGGCCAAAGGCCCCTGGTACTAATAATAGTTTTCAAAATCAATTTTTTTCTACATTCAAAATTCCAAGGAAATGGCAGTTTATCAATTGTTACTGATGTTTTAACAATGTTTCTTGTCAATTGTATGCTGTCGTTAAGCTAAACATCCCAGGTTTACCAGTAGGCTAGGCATGCACTATATTTAACACCATGTCAAGGCTTCAGTACCTACTTTAGAGGGGTAATTTTTTTATTTTCTATTCTACATAGTCTCACTTGTTCAAGTAAGTAGCCTGGGCTTATTTGTCCAATGCTAGAAGCACTTTAGCCAATCATAAAAATAATCCTAGTTTGAGAATTTTGAATTGATTCTCGACATGAAAAGAAAAAAAGAAAACATAGATAAGTAAAATGCAGTTATAAATAACAACGAAGAGATATTTATTGAAGTATAAAAATTAAAATAAAGTGACTGAATTAAAGTAAAAAAATAAAAAAATTGCAAGAAATAAAATAAAGTGAGTAACGGTAAAATACAGGGAAGAAATAAAGAATAAATAATCAAAGAAAAATAATATTAAGTAAAGAAAAAACAATAAAGTAAAACATTAAAATTAAGTAAAGAAACAAAGAGAAAAAAAAGTAAGGTAAAGTAAATAAATAAAAAAGAAATAATCAAAGAAAAATTATATTACGTAAAGAAAAAAAATAAAGGTAAAAATTTAAAATGAAGTAACGAAATAAAATAAAGTGAAAAACTAAAATAACGTTAAAAAATAAAATGAAATACGAAAATTCGAAAAATGAATGAACCAATCCAAGTATGTAGATTGAATATCCTGGTTTTCCGTTCAAATCGAAGCTATGTACAGGTTTTTCGGTCAAGATTCTCATCATACTGTATAGCTCAATCGTTAGGGTCTTCGGTTAGGGTTAGATAGGTCGCAGGTTCAATCCCCGCGGTAGGCAAAAAAATTTGATAAGTCGGATACGACTACAGTACCTCACAACGAGAACGAGTACTGAAGCCTCATTATACTCGATTTCGAAATATATTAACGCGTTTAACCCTTTTCCACCATCCCTTAGCTGCAAACCCCGACATTGCACACCTTTGTATGCAATTTTTTTAGCTGTACGTTTCACAAGAAAATACTCCTCTTTATGGCTAAAAACACAACATATTAGGTTCTCCTTGCTTTCATGATTGATACACTAAACATCCGGATGGGTCATCAGTTTACCATCTTTGAAGGTCTATCTCAGCAACGTTGTGCGGGACGTTTACGGAGGACGGCGCGCCCGCCCAGCAGTGTTGGTGCGAATTACCATCTTTGTTGCCAACGCCTACCTGATCGCGGTTTGAGGTTTCTGACCATCATATCATTTTGCTCGTAGCAAAATTGTTCTCAAGAGTCGAATCTGGGAATCCAAGATGGTAAATGTCACCTGCTATCTGGCTATAAGCACCAAAGATTTTTTTCCGCGTTGCTGTTCAGACAGTATGAACGCTGGGTCCATGCGGTATTGACTCAGAGTCCATACTCTTCGTGTGTAATATTTGTCCATACTAAAATGACCCTAAGTATCTCTAATCATAGGTCGGCATCACATTTTTTATAGTATGTATGTGGCTCCGACCCATACTTTGTGAAGCGTGGGTGCATACATTTTTTCAGTGTACGGCGTTTTTCCGTAGCACGGCAGAATAACTGTGATGGCAATATGAGTGGCTTACTCAACTGTAACATAGGCATAGGACATGTAAAATGTAAACTTAGGCCTTCGTGCAGTGACCTGTCCCTCACTGTTCCACTTTGTCTTCATCCAATAAAAATGTATGGTTAAAAAAAAAAAAAAAAAAAAAAAAAAAAAAAAAAAAAAGTATGAGCGGCTTGGGAGCAGGAAACACGTATAGTTGCACGCAATGGTGTTTCCACTTTCGCTGAGTCCGGCAAGGAGGACACCAAACGTGTCCTTCATGCAGATACCTATCTGGAGCTCTTTAGAAATGCCGACTGTATAATTGGTCTGTCCCCAATTATTTTAAAAGGTATTATTGGGTATTAAAGGCTTGATTTATTTTTTCAGGTGTTCATCGATATGTATTCCTTGTGTTTGAGGAAAATCCTCACTTTCCGGTTCGGCTTAATAAGTCAGATGATAGCGATGAAATGAGGTAAGAGCAACTTTATTCATGAGTCATAGCAATTTGACTATTTATTCCTATGTAAAAGTTTGCGAGAAAACACGATGGTGCTCTGGTTTTCTCTGAAATCATCTCCCAAGCTCAAAAAAAGCTCTCAAGTTGAGGCCAAAATGGAGGGGATATCCCACGCTATCCCGAGAGTCCACCTCTACATCAAGACAAACTCTCCATGCAAAGATAGGGAGCAAATACATTGACAGGGCTGCCACTTTATTTGGGGGCTCTAAAATTGAAAACACGGCAACCCTGCCAATGTATGTGCTCCCTATCTTTGCATGGAGAGTTTGTCTTGGTGTAGAGGTGGACCCACAAGGTGGGGTGGGATATCCCCTACATTTTGGCCTCAACTTGAGAGCTTTTTTTGAGCTTGGGAGTTGATTTTAGAGAGAACCAGTGGCACCATCGTGTTTCTCGCAAACTTTTACATATGAATCGATAGTCAAATCGCAAATTCCCCACACATGCAACATCTCCATTGTTTATGAAATTCTCAATTATGTCAATGCGAATACAGGGATTGCACACACTTACCGATCGCACCAGCGGGTTTAGGGGGGTGTGACTCTTACAGTTTATTGTGTGTACCTATCGGGTTCGTGAGAGGTTATTACGCCGAAAACAAAGTCGAGAGAGGGGAAATATGAGTCATAACGTTACGCAGAAATCGAAATTCCGTAAATTTTCTAATGAACTACATATCGTAATGAAAAATTTCTAGCTCATCCATGAAAACACTTTTCGAAAATAGGATAAACCTTTTAGCACGTAGTCGTAGGTACTTTATTTTTAAAACCGGTATTTTTTTATTATTTTTTACAATTAGTTATCATCCACAGCTCAAATCCCAAAATGTCTCTGCCCTACTTAAAAATAATTGTCCCGCTGAAAATTTTGCCACCACTGATGTACCACTGAAGCTACACTTTAAATTTTTCAAAATGTATACAATTTTAATATTTGAAATGCAGAATGTTCACAGAGCGGAGGGATTTCAACACAGACAATTTTATCAGGCACTTCAACCTTGGCATCCCAGCATGGGCCTCAAATTTCTTCACTTCTCGGTTTGAACAACTACCATCGAGCAAACAGTGATAATTCTGATCAGGAAAGTATAAAATCGTAAAGAAAGGACCTCCGGTTAAAAATGACATGGCTTCATACGCACACGGAAAAAATTAAATTGCTGATTTAACAATTCAATGGCTAAAAAAAGTGACTGCAATATTTCAATGTAGATTTTACAAAATAATGCTACACTAACCACCCTCGTGCTTAAAGCAGCTCACAATAGTGGTTAAAGTAGCATTTTATTGTTGTAAAAAAATGTTAGAGCCTAACACAGAGCGAAGCGGCGTGCTACCAGTGCGCAACGCGCACTGGCGCCTACAAACCTAACAGGGATACTTCACGCATTGCGCAATGCGTGAAGTATCCCTGTTAGGTTTGAAGGCGCTCATGCGCGTGTTACGCTGGTTCCTCGAAAGCTCGCCTCGCCGCGGACGAGGAGTGTCACGTCGATCCGAGCAACTGTTTTACGACAGAGGTGTAGTACAGTATCATTCGAAATTGAAGGCGCTCCATCGTATCAAGAATGACAGGTATCCTGTAAGAGTACAGATCTTTCCTCGCAAATTAAATTGAGTGACGACGACAAAAATAGAGTGGTAGTCCAAAAACTCACTAAGCCCTAGCATCCGTAATTAATAACGTTTGACATTATTTTTGAATTTCATTAGAGAAAAAAGTGACTCAATTGAAGCAGAAACATTCTTGAGTATGCCGTCAAGAAAATTTCATTTTGAATGTAAGCGGGTTTCTGCTTGATGTGAGGGACTTTTCAATTTTCATAAGCACATTTTCTTCTTTAAACAGGCATTATCCTCTTTATTGATTTATAAGAAAATCTTCTCGGTGGTTTTGAGCATATTTCTGCTTGAATCAAGTCACTTTTTCCTCTAATGAAGTTCAAAAATCATGCTAGACGTTATTGAATACAGATACTAGGACTTAGTAAGTTTTTCGACTGCCGCTCTCTTTTTATCGTCGTCACTCGATTTAATATGCAAGGGAACTTCGTGCTTTTGGAAGATGCCATAAAACATGATACGTTGGATTACTTTCAATCTCGTATGATACTGTGCAACACCTCCTTGGCGAAATAGTAGTTCGAAGCGCCGCGGCACGCTGACGCTGTCGCAAATTTATCGCACACAGAAGAATCTAATAGCCTTTAGCTGAGGCAAATCAAAAGGTTAATCGGGTTCAGGTATAATGAGATGGGATTTTCTTGAAAGATAATTAAGTCCCGTTGCACCAAAGAGGTGTAGAGAGTTTTAGTGAATTTTTCCTTATAAAATTGAGGTCCCCCCTATTTTTACCAAAAATCTCAATTATATACATTTCTCCGTTGCCCCCCCAAAAAAAAACAAGAAAAAAAACAAGCAAACGCTCATTCCTCCAAGACATTATACATTTTCATCCGAAAACGTCGTGAGCGATTTTCGTTTATATTTACAAATGGACCAATTAACTTTGAGTGTCAAATGGTAAGTGGACCTAAACTCCCCTACCGAAAAAAACCCGTGGACGTAAACTACTGGAGAAAACAGGTGCGTGGACAAAAAATCGTTGACGGAATGTCCTTTAACCTATGTTTATGTTGTTTCGTGCTCGGATTATGAGATTACTTAATAAAAACCGGAAAATCCTTTACAAAAATAATTTAATAGTACATTCTTACAATTTTAAGTACAGACTAAAATGGAAGAATCGCCGTCAGTCACATCCAAGAGCTTTCCAAAAAGAGCGAGATACAAATTTTCACGTATAACATTGTAACAAAACCTTCTACCGAGCCTTCAGCTGCAATTCTTCCCACTGCATCTCGAGGCAGAACTACGAATATCGTCAAAAGTTTTGCTCTTGATTTTATTCTAACAATTAAACCAGAGCGTGTAAGTGTTGTTTTGGAGTATAATTGCCTACTTCTCAGCTTCGTTATTATCTTTCATGCCGTTGAATTTAGGTTGTTTCCTGGAACGAAGAAGGAGAGTTCATAGTCTTATCATTGGATATATGGCAAAAACGCCTTGAATTTTTTTTCTTTCAAATAGAAATACCAAAGACTGGAATTACTTGAATAAGTTCAGAAACAGAAAATTAAACTTGAATTGGTTTTGTTTTTAAATTCAACAATAAAACCAGCTATAAGTACAACATGCAGTCTATGTAATATATTCTTTTACGATAAAAATTAAAATATTTCAACCTGTAAGTCTACATAAACTAAAAAAAAAGCGCTTAAAAAGTTTATAAAATCCGGATGTGTTTTAGCTGTATTAAAATATCCGCACAAATATCAGCGACCGCTTTTTTTAAAATTCCAATTGCACGTGAGCTTTTCGTAAACAATTTCACTAAAGATTTACCTGTTTGTGGGATCATTTTCCCCCAAAAACGTTCTCCAAAAAAGAAATTTTTCCTCGTACTTCAGATTATGTCTAATTCTCTTTGTGTAGAGGCTATAGAGCGAGACACATTGAGCAAAGGAAAGCACAACAGACGACAAGCAACATTTTTAAAGTTCCGGAGCGCGTATTGTATTACTCATAACTGAAGGCGCAACAAGGCATTTAATACTGAGTACCAATGCTTAATATACTTTACAATATTGTAACGTTGAGAAATAATGATCGCTCGAAAAGCGTTTCATTGCGACCTATATTTGTACGGCCACTTTGGAAAAGGCAAAAGTTTTTCTAACACTGGTCAGATTGCAGCTCTGCCATTGTGTCTCTTTGTCAATGAGAGACGTTTACGTTCGTCATTATTACCCTAAAATTGTCCATGTAATTTTACAAACGAAACCGTAATGTAACATAATGATACCGAAAATCAACAAATCTCTCCGCAATGGTAGTACATTTTTAAAATTCCCTCCATATTTCCATGTTTTTTTTTCTTCTTCTTCTTTTTTTTTAATGCGCATGAAATTAGCCCCCTCCGAATTCTTCGCAAATTGATGAAGTTGAAGAGACTGAAGATTGGAAGGAGGTGCCCATACTCGGAGAATGTTTCCAGTGTTTTGATTTTAATTTTTTAAGGTAAGGTAGGAATGCGCTCAGGACCTAGTGAAGGAAGGAAGGGGAGGGAAGATCATTCACTCATTCGTTAACGGGAGGGGGGAGAAGCGTTCGCTGCTTGCATGGGTGACATTTTAAGCTAGGGTGACAAGCGGCTCTAAATCAGCTATTCATTTCCAATCGGCGCTCTCTTACAAAATTCAGGTTATCTCGGAGCGTTGAGTGCATATTGTTACCAGAGACAGAGACCCTCCACTCGTATCTCGGCTATTGTGGAAGCTTTTACTTTCGGGACTTCAGCATTCTACTGTTGACTTACCTACATGGTTGATGTTCAACAACGTGTTGGCAGTTTCATTTTGCAAACAAGTCGAAAATGGCCGAAGTTTGTGAAACTTGTTTGGCTCATGACGTCACCCGGAGCTCATCATCGACCATGCAGGTAGGACAACATCCGAAATTAGGGTGATGACTAATGCTCCCTAATAACATTTTTCATAAGGAACTATTGAATCCCCGAAAGTAAAATCCTCCACCTGTCGCTAGGAGGCTAGTGAAGGGTCTCTTGTCTCTGATTGTTACTTACAGTTTTATTTCGCGAGGGCAATGCGGTGAGAAACTGGACCATTTCGGGTTTGTTTACATCGGCAATGGCGAGGACAGACAAACATCCGTCGACGGTGCCCAGGACGACAGCACGTCCATCTTCGGTGCTCTCCACTGCACTCAGTTCTGCCTGCACCCGGAAGTTCGCTATCATCTCTGCATCCGCTATCCTGTTTTTAAGAAAAATCAAAATAAGCTGATCAGAATAAAAATTGAAGGAAATCTTCAAACGCCCATGCTGTGTCTCGCATTGAAAACGCAGACTTGCTGATTTTTCTCGACCCCTCCGGTGTTAGAATTTATTTTTTAGTTGTTACAGGAAAATTTTCTGAGTCCCAAAGTAGTACGGTGCGATGAAAATATTGAAAAAAAATCGCGATTTAAACAATAAAACTGCAACTTTCTTCAGTAGTGAAATCAGTATGCGTGGCGTGCTTGGCCATATATCGATTGATCTGTCATTTGAACTTATGAAAAATGGAACCTATGATTGTTACGGTATTCGCAACGAACAATATCAATGATTGATCTTCACGCCTTGCTACTGCATGAAAAAAAAATTGTAATATTTTTGGCCAATAATGCCGATTTCAAAGATAAACAATGAGTTCCTTATGTTAGAAAGATAGGCATTGAAAAATCGCAGTTTATTTCAATTGTCAATAATAAATGTCCCTTTTATCGGAAGATAGGCAACGTACATAACCCTCCGATTCAGTAGCAATAATTTTAACATGTACCTTGTTCCCAAGTACTTGCAATGTATTTATTGGGCAGTAAAATGAGAACACCTTTGTTCAAAAGTAAACTGTCCATTTACATCAAAGAGCGCCTATTTGCATTAAGACGTCAACTGTCCCAAAGTTTACAGTCGTTACTCCGAAAAAAAAAATATTTGGTTAAATATTTTAAGATGATATTAGTCTATTCGCAGAAATTGGGGTACGAAGTTATAATCTGAGAAGATTTCTTTTTTCGTGTATTACCGCTTATTATTTTTTTCCGACCTCCTGAAAATTCCAAATCGAGCACGTGTTGTAGGTATTATTGGCGAAGTGAATGTTGAATAGGACATACGCTAAAAGAAATCTCTCAACAATGATCGATTCTTCTTCAATTAACAATGTATACAATTTGATTGTTCACGTTAGTTGCAACAGTCGTTTAATGTTGTCGACAATGTTATTCGCAATGCTAATTTGAATCTGCATCGATTGAGCATAAACTTAACTGCCGAATGAAATAAAAAAAAGGGAGAAATAGGAGAGAAAGAAAGAACGAAAATGCAGATCACCGGACTGCGGAATCTTAACTACATTTTGCGGTCATGGTAAGTCGACGGTGAAACTACCAAACCACGTATCTCGGTTTGCGACGTCGCAGACTTCCTGTCATACTTTATTTTTTAAATGAAAAACTACTTAACATCCAGTCTTGAAAATTTCTGTGATTTTTCCTCTTTGTGCGGAGAAAATTCCGTGAAAATTTCAAGGAATGATATTGATTTGGTCTACTTCAAAAAAATAAAACGTGAGCGTAGATTTTTAAACGCCGCAAACGAGATACGTGGTTTGGTAGTTTCACCGTTCAAGTGTAAAATAATAAGTTACCTGAATACTCGAAGAGTTTTTTTGCCGCTGTGATAATATAAAACGTATTCGTCTGTCTTGTTGAACATGCAAATAACAGAGAAGACACCCTCTGCCACCTTTGGAATGAATGTTTTTACCGTGTTGCCTTTTTTCAGTTCCAGTAATTCAAGGCCTCCTCTATATTCATCAGCAACGGAAAAAACAAAAGTTTACATTTGTATTAACTTCCAGAATACCTCTATTAGCGTCTACAAGACTACAGTAATACTGCATTGAGCAAAATACACATAAGCGCCTACTAGAGTGCAGGAATGCTTCACGCATTGCACTTAACACGGTGCGGTCGCTGGTCGACGCGGAAAGCATATTAGCGCCTACAAGAGTGCGGGAATACTTCACGCATCGCACCTATAGCACAGTGCGCTGAAGTGCGCTCGCTGGTCGACGCGAAAAGCAGATGGTGGCCTTAGCGGACGGCCGATTCTGGTAAACTTTTGATATGTTGTTCTGGTGGCCGATTGCAACATGTTTCCGCAAAGAAACTTTCTATAAATCAATTTCCCGGATTGCCTTTTATAAAACTAATTCGACTGGACTACGATCTCAAGAAAAAACAATGTATACACTTTTTCCGTCTTCCTCGATTCCCTTTTTTCTACTTTGGGAAAAAAATAAAAGGCGATTGCTCCTGCTCACTGGTCTTTCAAAAAATTTAAAACGAAAACTGACCGGAAAAGTGGGTGGAAGCAAGTGTAGAAAACACTTACTGCATCAAGAGAATTTTGGAATTTTCGGAACGATCCTTGGAGGTCGCCATTCACAGAACCACCTTTGTCCTCCATTGTAACTTTGAGGATGGAGTTGTGCTGTTAATGCGCTTTGGGAACTTTAAAATTTGTCTTGATAGAGAATACGAAAAATAATTTTATGGATAACCACAGGTTTACGTCGCGTGACCGCTTCGCGATCCAGACCTTCGAGGTGCTTCGCGCCTCAGGTGATTTGCGTTACGCGTCACTTTTATGATTTTATAATAAACAGTAAGATCTAAAGAAGTAAATAAAAAATAAAAAAATAAAAATTTATAAGTAAATTGAAGATGTTGAATAAGGAAATAAATGAGGCGTTGGGAGTATAGTATATGGCTGAGAGTAAGAGGCAGATTACGGAATCGTGAGCATTCGCCTGTTTACCAGGGGCGATTCTTGAAAGTTGGCAGCGCTGCTTTTCCTCCGTTTAGATGTATGTAAAACAATCGATTCTCTACAACTTGTTTCACCTAAAACCGATATTTTCAATGGCTTTAAATGGAGGCATTGTAGTGTTGCCAACTTTTTAGAATCGCCTCTGCCATTTACGCACAATTACCAAGGCAGCTGAACAGATAAAATATTGCCAAAACGGTGGAGGAGATTGAAGTGTGGAGTGGAGGAGAAACCACCGGGCTCTATCTCACAACGTAAAACCATACAATCAATGAGCCCACGTCTGAAGGCTACCTAATGCTAGCTGCGAAATCGCGCTTACTTTCTTTAACGTGCGTTTAAGTCTCCGAGCCTGTTGCGCGCATAGTAATGCGCTCAATAGCATCTGTAACGAGTACGTTACAGATGCTTAATGGACCATTAGACAAGGAACGAATTGAAACATCACGATGTACATTTTCTCCTCAAAACTTAGAACGCGTAAAACACGATCCGCGCGGCAATAATTACTGAAACTACTTCTTCCTAAGATACTAGACTTTTTTCGATGCAAAAAATTCAAACCTTCCGCTCATATATAAAGAAAAATTCTACGTGAGTCAAATCGCGCCCTGAACGTTACCGAAACGGTCTTTGCCGATTGTGCTCAATCGCAAGCAACAAAGACCAGCTGCCGCAGTGTTTTCAAAATCTTACAACTTCTCCTTCTCTTTTAAAATTACTTAAAATATGTACAGTATCAAAATGTATCCAATTATTTTCCTTTAAAATTAACGTTTTTTTGGTGGGAATCCAAAGCTATTTGCTATTCTGGGAGATTTTTTAGATAATTATGAATAAGCAACATTTTTTAAAACACTGTAATCACGCTGGTTCCTTTATGCTAAATACGACCCTTTTAAACCTACTCCCGACTTGTTTTTTTCCTAATTCGACTTGGTGCGTGTCTGTTAAACTTGATCCATTTGTGGAATTGAATGAAATTTACCTCGATGGTGCGTACAGCCCGTATTTTCCGTCTTTTGTGCAGTTGCCACCCCATCGCGGTAGAGTGCGCGAGCAGCGTTTACTGCGGGTATCCAGTAAGGTTGCCTTCTCTGGATCGATCATCGCAATCAGGTTGGCTTTGTGCGGCATTGGCACCAAAAACATGATATCCTGTGTAATGATAATTAAGAACAGTGATTTACAAACGAATGCATTGAGAAAAAACTCCAGCCGTAGAAGCTGTATTTACGGGCTGTAAAGGCATACCGTCTGCGTTCCGGGCCTAGAGGCTGAAAGTTCCGGGCGAAGCATCCGAAGCAGCCGAAGATACGGATCCAGCACCCAGAACTTTCGGCCTCTGAGCCCGAAACGAACGGTATGTCTATAGCCCGTAACTTTTTTTCAGTATGTTGAAGGTGAGTAAACTTTCAGTTTGAACCAGAAAAATCTTTGCGAAATCGGGTTTAACATTTGCTCGTCTGAATCGCATATCGATGGTGGAACTCCCAAACCACGTATCTCATTTGGGGTGTTTGAAAAACGGTGCTCTCATTTTATTTTGTTACAGATGAACGAATCAACGCCACTTCTTGAATTTTGTACAGAATTTTTTGCGCGCAGAGAAGAAAAATCATGGCAGTTTTTGTAAATAGCCGTTGAGTAGTTTTCCATTTACAAAATAAAATACGGCACGAAGTCTGCAACGTCGTCAATTGAGTTAAGTGGTTTGAGAGTTTCGCCGATGGTATTGGCAAGTGACAAATTCTTTGTATTGGATTGGAAGGTTTAAAAGAATAACATCTTCGTGATATAAATGCAGTCAGCAGAATGCAGGGGATCGTATTCGATACATTAAATGGGTGAGATTGTATCTAAATCGATAGGTCCAACATGTACACATAGCCTCAAAAGTCAATTGAGTAAACTGAGGGGATGGGTGTCTCGTGATAGATTTATGTTTCTGTAATGAGTATAAAATGGCGATGAAAAGTAAAATCATTAGGAATTTTCTCATTTTCAGCTTTTCTCTCTACGACCCTAAGATTTTCTTATGAGGTTACGTTCTATTGTTTTGAACTAAATGATAAATCGAATCACTATCGAATACGGTCTATTGAATCACCTTTACTCCTGGTATCCTCAGTGGTATTTTGGAGACTAGCTGACCGGTTCGAGCGTTGAAAACGTAGACAGCTTCCCTGTGCCCTTTGTCAGCTCCGATAGCAACGATATTTTGATCATCACATGTAACCACAGCCTCCTTGAAAGGCACGCCGGCGATATTTCGGACAGGGTAGTCAAATGAGAACATTCGCATTCCAGCTGTAAAATATTGACCAGATTAACCAAGCATTTACTTTATTTTATCTTTTCATAATTTTTACTCGGAAACTCCACCTTAAATTGCCCTTCCATTTTAAGGTAAAATGATACCCCCCCCTTCCCAATATATTATTGATGCGATCAGTTGCTTGATATTGCTGTTGCTCAAATTTGTACAAACGTGCGGGTTGGTGCATTTCTGCTTCTCTGCTCTGCCTGTCAAGAAGGTCCAAAAAGTCAGAAAAAGCGACGATTATTTAAAACTAATGTTCAGTTCTGCCGTACTATGAAAGAACGCTGTATGGGCCTTCAGGCGTTGCCAAATTTCCCCTGACAAAATGCTTTCCGCTCCTATTTTATTATTTCGACGGGAAGCGATCGAACGTTACAACTTAATTTGTATGCCAGATACTCTGCTAACAGAGATGAAAAATCACGGAGAAACATTTTACGTTGACTAGTTATCGGAAGAAAAAATAGATTTTGACAAGTAATCTGCAACGTCGCAAACGGAGATACGTGGTCTCTCATTTTGGTCATCGGAACGTAGAAAACTGAAGGCGTTTCAGCTCTTTTTGCGCCGATTTTATTCCTCCGTAGCGAGAAGACTAGGACGCGCTGACAACGGCGCCTTGATACAACTATACAACCTCGACGGATGTCCATATTGCGTTCAAAAAATTGAAGGAGTTTTTAATTTCAGCATACTGACTGCAGCGCTTGATTAACGGACGCGTTGGTGAAATGATATCGCCTGGATGGCTATTCACACTTTACGGCTGTTCGTATCACATATAGATGGTCAGAGTACAGTAGCACGTATCTACATTGCGGTGTTTCAAAATTTCCGCTCCTATTTTATTATTTCGATGGGAAGCGATCGGACGTTACAACTTAATTTGTATGCCAGATACTCTGCTAACAGAGATGAAAAATCACGCATTGACAAATTAGTGCATCCCTATTGGATTATAAGCAGAATTGACGCGCAAATAGTCCAATTCTCGGGATTTACTACATACTGGCTCGGATTCGACTGCAGCAGAAACAATCAGGCTTGGCGGAAAGAAATCGGAGGCGGGAGGGGGGGAGAGGGAGGATGGATGGGAAAGGGAGAAATTACATCCAGGGTTACTTCTATCTCATTCCTGATCCCTGGAGCATCTCTTGCGATCCTAAGAACATCATATCGTCACCCACCGGCCAAAGTATCGCAAGGGCCGTGCAACGTTTCAAAACTCCCGCCGTAATTTAATTATTTTATAGAGAAATTTTCCAACGAAGCTGTCCGAAAATTTCACTGAATTTTCCTTGTGCTGCCGATAAAATTCAGTAATCTTTTCAAACAGATTCAACCAACAATATCTCTGTAAAAAATAAAACGACGGCGGAAATTTTGAAATGTCGCATGGTGCTTGAGATACACTGGCCGGAAGGTGGCGACATCGTCATAAAGAACGCATGGATTGACTCGAATCTTTAGAATATGATTATTTTGACCGAGTTTAGCAGGAAACGAGCAAATACTTGGATGCATCCCTATGGAGGAACCTATCTGAATGGATTATTGACGGGGGACATGCCGTCTCTGAAAAAAGCCAAAAATTTGCTCAGGTGTGACATTATGGCATTGGTAACATGTATTTTCGAACATGACCGAAATAACCGCTCCATATGGTTACTCCGATTAGTTTCGAGTTTTTAATCGCCATGTCGTCTATACACGTCGTCGTGTCAACTTGCCCGAAAACGCCTCTCAGAGACGAAAAATGAGGATCTTGTATCTATATTAATACATTTCAAAATTGTTTGGTTGAAATTACTTGGCACTGTTCTCGTGACGCCGGTGGCGGAGGTGCGAGCAGGAACTTCCGCTCCTGCAGCCGGAACAGGCTTGGAAATTGCCAAAACTCTCGTTCCCTCCTCTAAGAATGTGAGCTGCTCGATTCCTGGTTGGGACTCCCTGAACATAACCTGCTCCGTAGCTCGATTCCAAATTAGCAGGTTTCCCGATTCAGAAGAGACAATATACCTGGGCAGGAAGAAAAAGTAGTTGTATAGAATCAATACATTCATGTGCGCGAGGCAAAGATATCGACCCTTTACTAACAATCAGTTTCGTATGGTTCTCATGAAGTGACTATTTCTAAAACCCAATTCACACTATCAAACTTTTCATCCGACATAATTGAACGAAAAGTTGGATTGAAAGTTGAAAGCAAAAAAATTGGTTTCAATTACTCTCCGTTCAACTTTCCATCCAATAGCCGGCGCTAATTGGATGAAATGTTGAACGAGAAGTTGAATAAGACGTCAGTATCACACTATCCAACTTTTCAATACGACAAGTTGCATTCAAGAGTTGAATGGAAAGTTTGATAGTGTGAATTGAGCTTTTAAAAAAAAAACAGGTTTGTTTTTTTTTTTTCATTTAACGGAGGAAAGTAGATTTATTTTAACGGCTTCAGATTCATTCCAAAGGGGAAAAGTGGGTTCCTGTTTGTCTGTATTCTCCTTGCTTCGGCATAAGCTCATTCGGCATTCACCTAATATACCTACATGTCGTCGGCAATCAACAATCGCCGGCGAATTGCAATCTACTTGGGTAGATTAGAAGAAATCAAAAATTCAGAAATAAATAAAGAGGATATGAAGTAATGATTATTACGCTTTGAATTTAAGCAAACGTTTTTTCCTCTTGAAAATATTACCAGTTCGCACACCCATGCGTGCGCGGAGTGTTTGTGACCATACTTAGTTGGGGGTGGTTCGGATAGGCAACTAAACTAACTTCTTGGCAAAGCAGAGGGTATCACGGAAAACTGAAGGCGCGCTGTAAGCCGAGATCGTGCAATTGGAGTTCTTCACTAATGAAACCTTTACTAAGTATATCGATGTGAATTATTGCACTCTGGCGAATTAACACGCATGACACTCGCAAAATTGCCGTCGATTGCACACTGCTTACGACATTCATTTTGCCATTAAATTCATTCAAGAGACATTTTACCAAAGTCAAATCCATCATTAAGAATTTGCGAAATAATTGCGTTTCATCGGTCGGGTTTTCACTTTAGGTATTTGTAATGCGAATAGGAGTCATGTTAAGAACTTTCGTGTTGATACCATTTTCGTTAAAAGGTTTGTAAAAGAGCAAAGAAAGATAATTTATAACTACACTGCAATTCCTTGGAAGATTTTACACAAATTTATTTACAAAATCAAAGTAAAATTTACCAGTCGATTGTTAGCATTTAAATTGTAAAAAACTCGATTTTAAAGCTACGGAATAATCATTTAGCTCGATTTGGCGACTTGCCAAATGGATGGAGATGAGCAAACAGACACGTTAATGGCGAAGTCATGAAATCACTTAGCTCGCGGATTTCGACGTTTCAGATTTCGTGTCACATCTCACTTTTTCAAGGACAACTATTCGCAGTCGTTGCAAATAATTTATAGTCATTTTTTTATGCCCTTTCAAGAACATTCTCTGATGATTTCGTTCAAAAATGTATTGCGGCGCTCCCTCCAAAAATAAAGTAGTGGCGGAAATTTTGTAAAACTGCAATCCTGATACGTGTTTTTGTAGTCTCACCATACTCTCTCGCACAGAGCGATACATACATGAAAACTTGTAAACGTCAGCATAAGTTCACCCAAAACATTTTTGTCTTCTCTCTCCCTCTTTCAGAGGCGGGTCCAGAAATTCGACAGCACTGGATTTCCTCCCCTTGAAGCTATGCTAAATAATCGATTCTTGTCGGAGCACCTAGTCCCTCCACAATCGATACATTTCCATTGGTTTAATTGGAGAAAGGACAATGTTGCCGATTTGCTGGATCCGCTAACGCCCTCTTTTTTCCAAAGGAAGAGCCAATAATTAAAAATACCTGCCATCGGGTGTTATGAGAGCATGCGTCACGATGGCACCAAGAGGGCTGTCAGCAAGTTGAGCGACCAGACGACCAACCTGCAAATCCCAAACTCCGACGCAGCCACGAGTCACCGTCACGGCGATGTCGATAGTTTTTGCTATGCTGCAAACAATATACGAGTTTATTGCAGTCAAATCATCAAACAGAAAAAGGACTTTGCTCGGTGGGCTATACTTTTCGATGCCACCCCAGGTCACGAGGATTGGGTTTTCACCTTTCGTGCCGCAATCGCACGCTGAATTTGGCGGCTGAATGTGGCAGTAAACAGTCAGCGCTCAACAGCTGAAATTTCACTAATCCGAGTTATTTTCATCCAGATGTGTATCAAATCTATTCGAATAGTTCAGACAAATCCGACATTATCCGATGGTCGCTGAGAATCGATGCTGCATTTTGTGCGTGACGCGCAAAATTCAGGCATCGGGCCGATGACTTCCACATTCAAGTCACGTTCAGCTCCCACATTCAGTGAGTGATTGCGGCATCATGTGAGGCCGCAGTAACTCGATAAGGGATCGTCCATAAAATACGTGACGTTGAATTTCGAATTTTTACCCCCCCCCCCCCTCGAACGGTGTTGTGACGTAAGCTCCCATTCTTAAAGCAAAATGGCGTAACGCTCTCTTTGACCGTTACGTATTTCATGATATGTCCCTACATAAACTGGACCACTAGACAAGGTACGAATTTCAGCATTCTGATACATTTTTCTTAACCAAAATTTCACGTAAAACACGATGCGCACGACGAAAATTACTGATATCAACTCCTTACGAAGATAATTAATCATTCTTGATGCGTAAATTCAAACCACCCGCTCATGAAAACTCAATGCTCTATGTGATTCACATCGCGCGCTAAACGTTATCATGACAGTATCTGCGATTTAAAAATCTGGCCACCTCAATTTTGCCGCTTTGGCTCAGCTAGAGCAAATTGCTTATAGTTTGAACAACACATGGTGGAAAATGAGCATTGCTCGATTGAGAAGCTTGCTGAATTCGTTGTAGTGCACGATTTGACACACAAAGAGCTTTGAGTTTCTTGTGAGCGAGCAGTTCAAATCCTCGTAACCAATGTGAAATAAAAACGTTGAAATCTTCGTTAGGAGTTAGATTCAGTAATATTCGTTGCGCTAATCGTGTTATACGTGAAATTCTGGTTCAGAAACATGTATCAGATCGCTTAAATTCGTACCTTGTCTAGTGGTCCATTGCGGCGACGAGTTTTAAAATTTGCAATTTCCGCCACTCCGTCGAAAAATTTGGCCATCCCTTTGATTTATTGTTCGAAGAACAAAAACACACTCATGGTCGTATTTTTTGCGAGTTCCTGTGTCTCAGAGGGACAGAATAGGGACCTATTTTCAGCAGAGAGACATATTCGGCTTACGTCGAAAAGAGCGTATCTCCATCGTGCCATTAAAAAGCTCTAGTCGTGTTTCATTTCATTTTTAAAAAAGTGAACTGATCAGAATTTCAAGAATTTTTTTTCTCTTTTTCGAAAGTAAAAAATAGCAGAGATATGCAGTGGCGCAATCAGTGATACGCATACGCATCTTTTTTCTTTGGCCAAAGAAATGGGTCATTTCTCCTTTGAGAAAGAAACATGATGGTTAAATTTTTAGATAGAGCAATGGAGATAGCGAATTTTGAAAGAAGAAATGGAAATATTTTCCGACTGCGGATTTATTATTAGAATTAAACCTGCAGGCCGATTATTGAAACTGTTAGACAAAGCTATAGACAAAGACGACGAAAGGGATTTGGAGGGATCCTATTGGTGGAAGCGGGTGGTGGCAATGGACATATGAGGTAGGTAATGGACTAACTAACGGCAACCCACCAAAGACCCGACAGTTAGTCCATCATGTTTTTCCTTAGTCCATAAGAACCAACCAAACCAAACCAATAGGGTCGCTATATACTTACTATGTCTTCTTTGTCTATCGCTTTGTCTATCAGTTTCAATAATCGGCCCGCTGAGGTGGCCAAGCCGAGTCAAATTGATCCAAGGCTATGTAGCTAAATAACAGCAGGCAGAAATACAAGAGCTTTAGATTTAAGTCTTCAAATACATTGTCGAAATATAATTAGACATCAAATTATAGATAAAAAAAAGGAGAAAAAAATCTAGAATCAACACAGTCGAAGATGGGAGAGACGTAATAGGGCCTCGTTATTAAACTTTTCTCCCGAAGCTGAGCGACATTTCATTGGCAGCATAGAGCAGAACACTGCTTGATCACGCCTCGCGCCATCGCGCCTTCAATTTTGCAGACGCAACACGGACATCCATCAAGCACGAATAGTTGTATCTCTGCCCCGTCATCAACCCACGTCCTTTCCTCGGCTATATTCCCGGGTGACTCGCGAGCGACTTATGCAGCCATAGATAGAGAGACGTAACTGGGCCTCATTTTTTTATCTTTCTTTTGAATTTGGGTGACACCTCATTGACATAAGTTCAAATAAAGAATTAAAATTAAAGAACTATCTATTTCTTCTCGGTTCTTTCTTCCCAAAACTATATTCTCATTCCATTTACTTTTGCCTAATTATCTTTTACCAATACGCCTTTCGGCAAATCGGACCTTCAACGGGACTTGGTCATTATAATAACAGTCATGTTGGTCTTACCAGACAGAATCAATCTGCAATTCATGTCGATCAATGACGTGAACTTGTTCAAAAATATTATTTATATTCCATACTTTTACTGATCTGTCGATTGAAGACGTAATCACCTGTGAAAAGAAAAATAAAACAAAGTAAAGGTACTTTTATTTTGAAAATCAAAACCTAATCAATTTCAAGCAGCAGTCCCGATAAAAATCTACTCAACGAGGCCATAAGATCAGAGTCAAGATTAAAAAAAATGTTACGTCTGATACAAAACTTCAATCAGCGAAGCAAATCTTGAACAAGCCAACGATGCCTCTTCTTTCGTGTAAAAGTTGCGTTGTGTATTCCATGACGTCAAAGTTTATGTCGACGAAAGTAGCTTAATGCCCTAATTATGACCGCTCTTGAGCTCAAACATGAACTCGATACTCTAGGATTTCCATACATAATATTCACCTATTTTTCTTTTTGACTTATGATTGAAATATGAACCAAGGCGTATTCATAGTCTGTTCTCGTAAAAAAATATTGAATTTTAGTCAATCAACAAGAAATGTTACAAAAAAGAAATTAAAGTAGGCTAACTAATTGAACTTTAAATTAAACTGATTATTAAACTAATTATCAGAGGTTAGAGAAGAAATTAATTAATTACAGAGTTCCAATTGCCGATTGTTAAAGCCTCTAGAGACATTATTCGTCCAAAATGAGCATCCAAAACTTTGACCAAGTCTTTCGTTTTCAACTCCCAGACATATAAATTTTTTCTGGAACATAAATTTGCACATATGATTTTAAATTTTACATGGGAGGCTGAGTTTCTTACTGTTAAAAAACTGGAAAATAGGAAGGATAGGTGGAAGAAGAAGACGAAAGAGAAAAATCTCAACAAATTAATTGCATATGTTTTTCCTTTTTAATTTTTTACGGATACAAAACTATGAGCATCGAGGTTTTCTCTCTACTAAGCATTTCCGTGCAATTACATTGCTACCACAAATTTAACATCAAACCCATTTTCTTTGTATGTGGAGCAAAATTGATGTAAAAGCAAGACACCTGATCAGTTGGCGTAGCTGTTAAGTCCGTTGGTTGGTATAACAGCAATTAATTTTAAATAGGTCAAAAATAATCGGTGAAACTTACTCCACGCAAATGCCTGTAAAGGGAGTATTCGTAAATTACATAACACACTTTTCCGGCATTTTTGAAC